TTTCACTAGATTAGGCAGTCTCTCATACTGTTTCTGGTCGCGGAGCTCCAACAGGAGGTCACCACTTGCCATTCTCGATGCTTTATATCCTGGGCCAAAGATTTTCGTAAAATACTTTTAAACTGGAAAAGGTGAAAGCGTTCGCACTGATTTGCCGGGTGTGTCAGCGTGAATAACGTGGAATCAGAGAAAAAATACTTTCTGGTGACCAAAAAACTGGAAGACTTCATCGGTGCGCCCTCGTTTTTGAGGGCAATCAGGGAGTGGGGGGAAGGAACTAGCCATATGTAAATGTTTATTTTCGGAAGCGGCGCCAGCCACCCACCATGGAGTCCTAAAAAGGAACATTGCAGGGTCTGTAAGTACAGGCCCTGCAGACGCTAGCTGTACGCCACCACTATAACCGAATATGGTGTATCCAAGGTAGGATAGCCACACAGGTTTAACCCTTGCCGCCAGAAAACACGGAAGTCAAAGGAAGTGAGTAGAGGACAGGAAAGATTTGAAGTAAGAGAAAAGACGAAGATGTGAGGTGGAGACAGGAAAAGGCGATGGCCGATTCCCCCCGGGCGGGTCAATCCGAGGGTGCCGTCCACGTGAAGCCGGGGCCAAAGGGGTGTGTTGCCACCACTGGGGGGGGCTTTACAGGTCCAATCACCCAGCATTGGCTCAACCCCAGGATCCCCTTTTCCCCGGACATGGCAAACCCACGCACGGCTAGGCGTGGGAGGGGGTCAAAACCTCCCCCGTTAGCTCGGGTACGTGTTGTCGCTACACGCCAAACGCCTGCTTGCGCAGACGCCCCTGCGGGGAAGCCACCCTAATTACCTTCAGTACACAAGGTAACGTTTTTCAAGTACGGCGTAATGTTACCACTCCACGAGATTTTACAGTTTGGCACTGAACATGGCTACACGATCAGTATTACTCATCGTGGTGCTGAAGCAGCGCCACAATGAGAACTTTATTTTCAAAATTTACCTCGCAATAATAATTCTTCGCGTTTCATGTGCCAACACCATGACATCATTATGATGAACACCGTAGAGGAGAGCTCCTGAATTGGACATGCACCATAATCTAAGTACATGAGCCTGAAGCATTTTCGCCTTCATAGAAAGTTTGACCACCATAAATAGGCTTTACATCGTCAAGGTTCTGTAAATCACCATCTCGCTCTTTAGTCAGGGCAATTTTGACGAGTAGAAAATTTCATGAAGCCTTATTAGAACTTCACCTCCATTACCTTCGTACCACATGATTTCTTCAACACTAGTATCTATCTACATTGGACTTCGCTGTGTTTTAAGGCATTTTAGCCAAGCAACATATTTTGATGGCGGAAACTTCGCAGCCGCATCCTAATTTACAAAGACGAGGTTTTGCGTTACGGTCACAGCCGCCATGTTTGTCGGAACGCGTGAGTAATCGTATCTACCCGCATCTTAGCTGTTTTTACATGGCCACATCATTTTTTATTCCAATCTACTAACGCCATCTCTGGCCAAAATCTAAACGAGGCATCTTCAGGTTGTTGAGCTGCATCCATGAACGCGCTGATGAAAATTCCCATGACTTTACCCATGACCTCAAATCTATAAGGTGCTCTTTTGCAATGATCCTGCTAGCATGAAGATTCACACGTGACGGATGTGTTTGTTGTCGATTCTCATCACCATTTCCTTCAACTCATCTCCATTACCTCGAGCTATAGCACATTGGAACAGCTTTCCACATCACATCGTATCCATCTACGAATGCGAATCTCTTTGTGATAACCTGATTTCATTGCGTTGTTCTATTGTAGACTTTTGTTCACCTTCTTATTTTTCATTTGCTTGTTTTGTTTGTTCATTTTACACTTTGTCTATATTGATTTGCAATCTATTTACTAATGCCCTCTTACTCAATGCCCTTTAACGGGCATGTAAAGCATTTTGAATAAGAAAATGACGGCTTCATTACTGTCTAATGAAAGCTCTTATGCGTGCCGCTCGTAACCGAAGTCTGTGCGTTGCCGACGTCAGACCGGCACAAATGCTGCCGTGCTCTCTCCCCAGACCACCTTGGCTGATACAAACTAAGGTATGTTTTGAACTCGAAGATGTGTTGCTATAAAAAATTCATCACTCATACTAAAAGGGCTGTCGTGTGGGTACAAAGCAGCGCAGACGTGTTGAATAGCCCCTACCGGATGTCGTCTACATCACCCTAAACAGGTACACCTCCACCAGTACCTTTACCCGACTAGCCCTGCAGGTGATCATCGCTTGATGCCGGTAACCGCTGCTGAGAACTTAGCCAGTGACCCTGGCCATAGCACTGCTAAACTGCTGGTCCTTGAACGCACATGCCAAAGACATATAATGTGATATCGTGCTAACCAGAGCAGACAGGCTTTATCCCAAAAACCGTGAAATGCCACGCGACTGGGGATCCGTGGTCGAGTAGTGAGCGTTCGTACGGAGAAAGCTTTTCGCTTGTCTTCAGCGCTGACCCGGGAGAGAGAAAGGAACTTAGAATAAAAGAAAGAGGAGGATGGATGCATTTGCGCAGCGGGAGAGTAGACGCACCAGGGAAAAATGAACGGAGCCCAGAGCAAAAGCTATTTTGATTCTAAAAAAATTCGTGTGGACATTATATTAACTTACTAAACAGACTTTGCTGGCTGAATGCGTTTCTTAGCTTCCACGTCCCTTCATTTCAGACGATATTGACACATATCATTGACATCGTAGGCCCATTCCTATTTTATTCTACATTCTTACTCAGTGGCAAATATTCCTATGATTTCCGCGGAACAAATACATAACGGAAAATACGTACTTGCCACCCTCCAGCCATCTCACTTCCACACAGTAGCAGTAGATTGTGATATATATCGGCAGGCTTGGTGGCTCTACTTCAAGAGGAGCTTTCAAGAGGAAGCTAAGAGAAGAATGTTTTTTGTGAAAAAAAAACGCGGCTATTGCGAAGAAGTTTCACAAGGTGTCGCAAAACCCTTCGAAAGTAATGAAGCAAGCAGTGTAACTGCTCAAAAGCCCATGTTTAGACAAACTGCTTAGTAGGGTAAAAAAGAAATGGACCATTTTCTAGATGTTGTTTTTACTGCTAAGACCCATAAGCCCACCATTCCCTTCCGTACCATCTTTTCTGAAAGGAACACTTCCCGGTATCTACAAAACAACCTGGAATCTCGGTTTGTTGTTGATCCTTTTCAAGTACCCACTTCCGACATGGTCACAAATTTTTGAGGCACAATGACTCAGAAGGCCCAGGAAATTTAGCCTCGACATTGAAGATCTTTACTTCTCGTTACCCCAAGCCCCTCTTCTGCATATTGTCAAGGAGTGTATTTGTAATCAGAGAATGAACATGTATTCACCACTCGTTCAATTTTGTTGGTTGAGGGGTTCCTCGAAGTAGTGAAGTGTTCTTCGAAGCGACGTTCATCACGTGGAAAAGGAAAGTTTTTGCTCAGAAATTTGGTGTATGTATTGGTTCTTCTGTCACGCCTAGTCTGAGTACGATACTTTTAGCGAAGGTGGGCAGGGCTATTCACAATAACCGTTTTGATCTGGCCGTTAAAGTGTTCAGTTATGTGAACGATTACTCGGTTTTCGTTGAGAGGCATGATTTCATCAGAAGTATGATTGATTCATTGAAGGATTTCATGGAGCAACGGCAAGGTTTGACGTTCACGTGTGAGGCACCCTAGAAGGATAATTTGCACCTTGTAAACTTCCAGTTAGCATTTAGTCCTGATAGATATTTGTGTGATACAAACCAAGATCACAAAAAGGTTTGCTTGACTACCAGTATGGCCGCTCTAGACTTGCAAAAAACAGAATAGCCAGCTCCTGTATCTGGTCTGCAATATGCAAGTTTTGACCGCACCGTATGAGCCAAAACATGTGTGAACAAGCGGTGAAGTTGCGACGGGCGGGGTACCCGGATGCTGTTCTAGCCGCTGTTAGCAAAAGGTTGCTCAAGACCGTACAAGCTGGTGGTGAACTGGCGCTTACGGAAAAAATGTGAAGGAAGCAGGCCTTTCTTCGTAATCCCCTACATTGATGGAGTGCCGCACCGGTTCGAAAAAGTAGTGGCACGTTTTGTTCTGAATGTGCTGTTTGCAGCCAAACTAAGCTGAAGGAAATTCGCCGAAGGCTGCAGTGCCATTAGAGTAAAAACAAAACAGCGGGAATGATGAGTGTATCACGAGACATGTCATTTGTTTCGTGTCTGGCGTAGAAGAGTTAGTATAAGAGACCCCCTTCATTGCTGACACGTTTACGTAGGCCAAACTCAAAAATTTCCTAATATACGCCTACGCGAGCACCACAGCTCAATGAAAGGTACGTCTTCATCCCTTTTGGCAAAGCATTGCCATCAGTGTGGCTGCACCTCACCGTTTGAACGAACTGTGCTATTTCATCACAAGGAGCAAGTAATCCGTGAAATCACTGACACTTGCCCTGCATCATCCAAAAACTTCGCTCTTAATGCTTGAGTCATCCACCTATACTTCGTCAAGATGCGGAATTTTCTTTCCTTACTAACATGTTTTCTGAGTTTCACCAGGATATGCTTGCAGAATGGATGTCTCATTTATCATTCCTAGGGTGTTTTGGGGGTTTTGTTAGATATTTTTGTACGTAAATTTGTAAATGTTTTCACTGTTCCAGTCACGTGTGCGCGTTATCCTGTTAAGTTGCTGACCTTACATTTCTTGTTTTTGTATGATGTCTGATAGTACTTTATTTGTAAGAGAGGAAGGCGTGAGATTCCAGTGATTTGAGTTGGTTTATAAACATGCGTGTTTCCCAAATAAACGTGGTTTGAAGTTTGCGCTCATGTTTTCTACGTCTTTTTCTTTTGTCTTCTTATTTTTCGGCACTAATATTTCGAAGGTATGCATCTTTAACAATCCGTCCAATTCGCTGCACTTATCAGGCTAATATTAGGGTTATGCTGTGGAGAGGAATAGAGAAACTGCTTACCCATTTGAGCATGCACACAAGTAGGTGTTAACGTTAAAATGAGGAATAACAAGGACAGCGTCAGTACGATGCGTTGATCGAAAATCTTCATCCTGATTGTTTGCCTGTAAAACAAGTCACCATAGGAATACGTATTAAATAACAAGCTCTAACCTATCTGGATGACATATGTTATACGACCATAAACTTCAAACTCAATTTACACCTTCGTAGGTTACGTTTAGACTTCTTTCCTCTGACTACTTAATAAAAAACATGATTATTCATTAGTTCAGAAATTTAAATTGCTTTGTAGGGCTCAAAAGCAACGTATTATCACTCGAAGTAACTCCGAGACATGTGCTGCAGATAAACCAGTTAGTACTCTTCCTTAAAAAGCAATTGAAAAATTTCGCGAAAGAAGCGTTGAAACTTCCACTCGTGACGCCATTATAAGATGGCTATTCGAGCTCTCCACAGGACACTGCTCGGTGGAGAGTTCTTGACACAATTGGCGTGCTCATGAAGCAGCAGCAGTGAGGCAAAACAGGAAGTTATTCATGTGGCGGCCGACAAGGTCATCCCCAAGCACCACGTAGTTACCGATGCGCATGCGAGCAAATTGACCCGCTAAGACTTTCAAGAAAGGGTTAACAATTGGCAGGGTTCAACGTGCTGAAACTACCATATGATGACGAAGGAAGCCATAGTGGAGTAAAATGCAACCACACTGACCCGGAAAACTTAACCGCACTGCCAGGAAAAGCAGCACTGACTACGCTAAAAACACAATGAAAAGAAATCAGCTGCATGAGCACTGTAACTGCCAAGAGGAACTGAGGCATGCACATGAAGGACTTCCTACAGCTAATATAGGCTTTGACCAAATTGACATCTTGCCGAATTGTGACACGCATATTGGTAGCCCTAACTGATATAGTCTCTATGAAGGCATTAAACTTCCCTTTTGTTCATGAACCTTCTCCGTACCTCATGGTTAGACTCGGAAATGAGCTGTCTTTTGTCTTCCAACTGCCATGAGTAGAGGTATTGACCTGAAAACTGGTGGAATTCCTTCTGCCACCCCAAAAACGGGGCCTTTATTCGGCCTGGCAGTGCAACGTTAGGAAAAATCTGTTGTCCGTATGAGATTTTGCATAGGTAGAATAAATGGAACGATTTCTCCCGAACCAACAGGTGCATGCATAATGCCTGTTTTTTGAAAGTCTAATTTTGTTCCACTGGTCTGAGGTTTTTGCTTTTTATCTGCACAATGACCAAAAAGATACTCGGAGAAATATTTGAAGCTTAAAACGTTGTTGTTTATTCAGATGCAGCTGTTCTTACATCTGTTGTGGGAGAGACAATGGCGTAACCATTACGCCTAGTCTTTTATGTCCTCATAAGGCCATACAAGGCTAGGCGTAGTGGTTTACGCCACGTCACTGTACGCCTGTTATCAATACAGATTTTTCAATTGAACCTGCAGAATCCCACTGAAAAGCATTGCGCAGAAGCAATCAATTGTAAATGAAACACCGAGCCCTAACACTACGCAGCGCTCGGACGCTTAGTGCTTCAACCTCAAGACTTAACAAGTGGCCAAGTGTGTACACTGCTTGCTAATATACTCGTTGATGAATTGAAAATCTGAAGTCAGGCCCTTTTAGTCAACAGAAATATCTGTGCGAGTTTGTTGATGACCTGAAGAAGAATGTTCAGGCCTTCTAGTTCAGACATTCATTCATATTTGGGCTTTACGTCCCCCAACCACCATATAAATAGGAGAGACGCCGTAATGAAAAGCTCCGGAAATATCAACCACCTGCTTTTTCTCAACTTGCACTTAATATCTGAGTACATAAGCCTTCAGCATTTTCGCCTTCCTCTAAAATGCAGCCGCTGCCGCCGAGATTCGATCCTGCCACCTCAGGGTCAGCAACCGAGTATCTCAGTCACTAGACCATCACGACAGAGTGTCTATGTGAGGAAAGATGTGCGCACGGTTCGTTTCACCATTACTGTCCCACCCTCTGGATTTATCAGCTGCTTGGTGTGCCATTTCTTTCTTTCTCGACGCTCATGACGTCAGTGACGTCAGCCCTTGGCATAGCGGAATGCAGCCCTTTATTGGCGTGGCCATTTGATTGCTGTGTAATTGTTTCGAACTCACAACTTGACAGTAGCGCTCTGGCGCTCAGGGAATCAGTATCGCATTATATCAAGCCCGCTAGCGTGAAGTTAATTCAAGTCGTCGCACGTCTTTTCACTCATATTCCTCTTTCACTCGACGCCCACCGCCTTCGTGAACATGCTCTAAACAATATAGAGAATAACTAATACATCAAAACATGGTGCTTCGCTGGAACAGGACGTAGCCAATTTTTACATTTGATAGTGTCTTTATTTCGACTTGCCAACACAGCCACTGAAGCTGTCAAAAGTCGTTTCACGACAACACCACAAGCACGGTTCATGAAAAAATGCATAGGCTGAAGATGTCGGACTGGTAACTAAGAGTCCAAAAGGGCAGGTGATAAGCCATCACAAATGAAATCACGTATTGCTTATGTAAAATTTGGTGGACTCTCAAAATTCATCTATACAAGAGGAGAACGTGATAGTCATCGAACCCCGCCGTAAACGCCTTTTGAATTCCTAGGCGAGCTTCACTTCTCGGAGGACACTTTAGCCATGCGGCACATGCCTCAAGGTATTGACTGTGCGGGTAGTAAGCCATTTTATACAGTCCACAAATGCCTCGTCAAAACTCTTTTCCTGCGTAAAACACGTACTCAAGTCACAGTGTAAAGTGGAGGAGCACCCTGGTCAAAGCTGGCTGTAAGTTTTCTTCGCAAAATTGCAAAGACAACCCTAGAGTACCAGCTTTACTTCATGATGAATGATCTGAATTACCAGATTACTGTTTTTTATATTATTACAAATTTACGCATTCTAGCTACTGATATATTGTGCATCTAAAGAGTGCTACAAATTCAGCCCAAAATGTTTGCAATTTCTTAAAGCCAGTTTTTTTGCATACGTGAACACTGCTTAGAACATCTTCAGCTAGATCACCTCTCCTAATTGCATGGTGAAACCTCGTGAGTTGGCTGTTATGAAAACTCTAAAACCCAAGCCACCAATTCGTATTTGAAGGCTGTTCAAAATAATATTGTATATAAAAATAGGATTATTAGTTCTGGCCACTTCACATACACTTACTCTATCTTGCTGCTCTTTTAACCGCAGGTGGCAGTCTAGAAAACTCTGCAGTCAGTAGCGGTGCTAAACAGGTGCCTCCTATTGTGGGACGATTCATTGTTGTAAACCGAGCAGCAATATATAGGTGATTTCTCGGGCAGGGTACTCGTATCAGAATAATGGAGAACTGGAAATAAATGTAATAATAACGTGACATTTTTCATAACTCAGACGCTTATATCGCTCTTCTAAACATCATTATTAGGAAATACTAAAGGAACACTAACAACGTTAACAAAGAAAAAAAGCCCCTTCATTCACACTTCTTACTTTTATAACTTTCATTGCAAGTGAAGGAATTTTACTATCTAATTGTGATGTCAGTTTGCACGAGGTGATTTTATCTGGTGACTAAATTGTTTTATGCATGCAGCAGTGTAATTGCTGCATTTATCATATGAAGTCCGACAGGCTGATAGAGATTTATAATTCATACACTATGCTGTATGTACGCATACTGACAACTGGTACTTACCATATTAGCAAGGCAGACAGGAATAGAAATTATACTTTTTGTGGTGTTGAATAATTGCGCTACAGCGTACTAGACGCTACGGAACTGCTTCTAAAACTGGCAATTGAGAATTCATTCCAAAGAGCAGTAACTTTATGTAAAGGACAAAGTTTCTGGACATATAAAAAAAATTTCTGGGCATGAGCTTCCTCGATGCCTCCGAGTTATCTGACGCGAACCAAGAGTTTATTAGGCTGTGCTAATAAATGTAAGAAAAATCAGGCATCAATGACTATTAAACGTTATTTGTACTAACAATTGAAAAGGTCTACACAAGACATGAAACAGTCAAACATAATTGACGCATGTGAAATCTGAAAAAAAAAGCAGCAAAACTGTGGCTCAGCTTCTGTATAGAGTAATATGTATTGTTAAGAGAGGTCACTCCTATAGGTGCCGGTGGCTCATTTGGGTTAGCAGCGCTCCAATTGGCCGTTGGGAACCTTCACAACCTCAGAGATGAGAGACCACTGAAAAGGATGCCTCAAAGGCTATTTTTTCGCGATTAGGAAAGTTATATGGCCAAGACAACATTGTTACACCGCCTGGGCAGCAAGCACACAATGCCATTTTGTGTCTGTGCACACATTTTAAATAAAGCGTGAAAATCATTAGGGGAGCGAAAAATTTATATACAAGTCATATTTTTAGTAAGTAGATGCGGAACTACAACTACCGTATCATCAGTATTAATTGCACACAATAAATAACCACAGAGGCAACATTAAAAGAGTACCCGCAATAAAAGCACAAAAGTGCACTAACAGTGCATAACGAAACATGGCAGTAGTTGCCGCAGCTCTTAACGTCGGCACAAACCAAAAGAATAAAAGAAAAAAAACATCGGCCACGTTTTTTTTTTGCCTCCTTAAAACAAACTTTCTCCTTGGCTGTTCAGGTCTTTCATACGCAAAAAACAATCGCAAGCAGTTGCCACAGCAAAAACAAAACAATATTATGTACCATGCAAGCTGTAAACGAGACAGGAATGTTAACTCAAGGATTAGGCCCTGGCTTTAGCATACAAACATTTTTTCAAGAATCACTTCTCTGTTATGACGCTCGTGGAAGCTTTAAGCAATATGCGAATACCGCAGATAACGATACTAAGTGTGACTGCACATTTTATCCTCTGTCACACATGAGCTGAATTCGAATGCAGTTACCAGTGCAAAGAAGATCTAACAACGTGAGCGGTGACTCACTTTTTATCAAAAAAAGAATGATTATTCCCTTCTGTGCTGCGCATCATTACAAACAGTTCTTTTTTTGTGTGTGAAGCAATGGACGAAAATAATACGCAAAATTAAGACTACAAAATTGTACCACTGAATACGAGAATTGTTATATTAAGGCTTCAATGATGAATGCAATACGCACTTTAAAAGTAATGATCGAGTTCATACCTAGCAGTAGCCAAGCGGAGAGGCAGACGAAGCAAGCAAAGACAACGACGCACGTCGGGCACGTTATCGCACATTATTTATCACCTCTCCCTGCACCTTTCCTACTTCTTCATTACCTTAAACACTCATGAACACAGAGCTTGACAGCGTTGCCATCGCGTCAACGCCATGTTCACGTCTCTCGCATCCAATTCATGCCTGATTGTGTCCGAGAATGCGCACGCAAGGCGACAAATACACATAAGAAAACCACAATCGGAGTCGCGAAGACACGTAGACGTATAATGCACTAGAAAAAAGTACTTTAGTAGATAACGATAGTACGCGTGTTACCTTGAAGCAGTGAGCTATGTGTCGCAATCTTATGGCCGGCGTGAAGCTGTGTAGCGCAGCCGTTTATGGTTACAGTGACCACTATAATGTTTATGTTACCTGTGGGTAGTAGGCATGAAGTTTCTGCTTGCTTATCCAGGACCAAACAGTTATCGACTTGCTGCCGGCATTGACGGCCCAGCACCAGTACATGTTGGTGTTCTACTTGATTGATATATGTGGAGTTTAACGTTCTTAAACCACCATAGGATTATGAGAGACGCCGTAGTGGAGTGCTCTACCTAATAGGTAGCAGATTTTTGAAGTGTGGTAAGGCATAGGCTGTAGTAGCGAGGGCACCGAAACCTCATTTCCTAATGCAATCTATGGTGACGAGGACATTCTGGTGTAGGTGCTTTTTTATCTTCTTCAATTCTCCTCTGCGATAAGATAGGAAACGCTTGGTTGCTCGCTCCCACGCCCGTTTCATTAGAATTTAGTTTTCTGAAGTGGTGTCTTGAGCAGCGTGGAACATCATCGATTCCCAGCTGCAGGCCTGTCATGAAGAATGGTGGACATGGTGTATCCTCAGACAGTACCAATGCTAAATGATTTACAAGGAAGTTCCCCCGAGACAACTGGTCGAGACTCTCGCTGTGCTGTCACACACTCCTAGCCAAAGAGAGTAACGATGATATAGGTGTTCTTCCTTTGAGGAAGAAATGATATTGTCACTCCCATTGCTCCTAGGAAAAGATGAACTGCTGAGGGACACACTGTTACTCTTGTTTCAGTTCCTCCTTCGGGAAATGAACAGTTACTCCCTCCAGTTACTTCCTGCGAAGAAGCCCTTACTACCACCAATTTCTTGACCGTTACTCCCGCGAGTTCGCAGTAACTATCTGAAGACCAACTGCCCATGCTTCCAGTTACTCCTTGTGGGAATGAATATTTATCTTGACTGTGCTTGTCAGATGCTTAACACATGAACATGATGATAGCCCTTTTGAAGAGCGCTGCTTGGGTGCTCGTAACATGACGAGTGGAGAGCGGAAGAAAACGAAATATTTTATTATTTTTCCTGTTTTTTTGACACGACATGTACGCACACGTTGCAGTATACTTCACCACACCACAGCCGGCACTAAGCGAGCGGCATAATACATTGAAGGTTTTCTGCGTCTTCCGTGGTAAAACAATGTCGAATTACCAGGACAGGGCAGTCTATGTCACCATGGAAGAAAGAACGTCTTCTCCAATTGTGAAAGACTCGCTTTTGGCAGGACAGATGTTTCCATTGAGCTAGCGCATTGGAATGTCACCGCAAGCATACGCCAAGCTTCTCATTGCTGCAAGAAGAAATATAAGTATGACCTTTCACATTACAGACTCAATAGAAAGCAATCAATTACACACCCCACAGCAGCGTTTATATTCTAGGAAGTCTAATATGAAATGAAATGTGAAAGAAAATGGCGGGTGCGGTGAAACGTTACTTCGCATGCCGTATCAATGCACATGTGGTGGATGCTCTTTACATGACTTTGCTTCAATATTGCATCTTAAATCTTGCCAAAGAGGCGAGATTGTGGTAGAAAGTCTGCGTCATCTCAAGTAGGCGTTATATTTTTGGCTGTTGAAGCTATTCTTTGGTTAACTTCACTACTTTTCCATAAAGAGCTGAATGACATTTTTATGAGCCTATTCACTAATGGACGTTTTAAGCGAGATCATGCGTGTGACGAATAACACGTACTATCTGCTGATGTTTATACAGATATTGAGCTCGCGCATGTAGTTACTCTCGATTATACTGCGCAATCATACGCTGATGAGTCATAAATGTGCGATACCTGTAGCTGGACATTACCATAGACAGAAAAAAAGGCAGGCAGTGCTACCTTCAGACAAAGTGTTATAGAAACTAGGGTGTACCTAAGCACTCGGTTCAAGAATAAGAGGGACGAGATATGTGAACAAAGAAATATATCTTAAGGCATGCGCAGATATACTGATTCTTTGTCCGACAGTGTCAGAGATTGCTTTCGGATACACAAATCTTCGAGCGCAACAATCTGTCCAGTTTTCATTAGTTCAAGGCCTTGTTGGTTCACAGCTGAACTTATTACTGCTCTCTCGTACAAACACGAGTAATTTCTTCGTGGTTTCCGGAAAAATAAAACAATATTTGAAGCCATCCCGCTGTGTCCATGTGTGCCTATAGTGTTTGTACTGCTTTCTACCTGCACTACGAACAAATTCGCTGAAGACGTCCTACCATTCAAGCCCACATCGCATCTCTGGTCGACGCAATAAAAATACAAACATTTAAAATGTTGTATCGCGCGTCAGACACGACGCATGGGGAACACGAGGCCCAGAGCGCGGGCCGGGAAGGAGGAAGAAGTGGCAAAGCCGAGACCCGGGCGGAAACCCTTTGACAGAAGCATCGCTATATATACATTTCTACACCGCTCTCTAGCGGGCCAAACAACAGGTTCCCAAACCGGAACCGAAACCACGATAGCACCCCCCCCCCCCCCTAGAATAAAGTGAACATGTGGGGGCTCAGACGTGCTTATACAAATATTGTTGTAAGACGCCAATTGTTTATAGTAAGGTGTGCCACCTTATACAATTTTTAGAGAAACAGCAGTATAACAAATACAGATAGTGTGCAGACTTGAATTGCCACATCAACACATCTTTAACATTCTCCCCCCCCTAATTTTGTCGTAACCAATCGAAGCACAGAAAACCGGAATGAAACAAAACATAGCTGTGAAAACAGTGCTCCTAGCTGTAGGGATTTATATAAGCAAAAGACAATAAACGATTGATAACATATCAGTGTAGCATTGTGTAAAACTTAAACGTTATACAACAATGAA